CAAAAAGTGGGAAAAAATGGATTTGAATCAGAACACAACAGCACAGTGTTGCACAAATTATTTCCGGAAAGATTTTGCTATATCTCTTCAGGTACATACTACAGCCTGAACTGCGCAAGCAGAAAGAGTTATTTGTAACCCAAACCCTGCCCTGGTAGGATGATGGACGAAGTTAACACTAACAGCCTATCCATGGTAACTGTTACTTGCAAGTTATCATTATACTTTTTGATTGTAGTATGTACTTGAAGAGAAACAGCAAAATCTTTTCGGAAATAAATTGTTCAACACTGTGCTGCGGTGTTCTTTATTCAAGTTCCTATCGGAAAAATGCTGTTTCAATAAGTAGTATATGAATGACGAGAAGGGAAAAGGTTTCAACTATTTCAACTTCCTCGAAAGATGCATTGAAAAATGCCATAATTTCTACCTCAGACTGGAGTTCATCAAAACACCATACTGGGAATCATGCGGACTTTGCGAAGTGAATCCGATCTGTCAAAAACGCCTGTATAGTAATGCATCATTGTGGACTGTGGGTGTGGAGTCGAGTGCGAGATTGAGGGAATAACTGAAATGAAGTTTCTCTCATTGCTTATTAACTACTTTCCTGCGGCTAGTCAGTCGTCTTTTTTTCTGATAGAAGCCCTATTCTGTCCAATTCTGTGAACTGCTAAAAAACAACTAGGTGATGACGAAAAACCTACTCCCCAAAGCTCACACATGACAATCTTTTCTTGAGTACGAAAGTAAATCAAAGAGTAAAAAGCATCAACGTGTTTCACGTGGTATACCACTCCTTATTTCTCCGATTCACAGAAAAATCATCGAGAAGAGCATATGCATTGCTCCTGTGCGGTTTTGAACCAATTAGAGTTATTTCAAGCACCGTTTATATGATGCGCAACGGCACACACCGTCTTGCTCTATGGCTGCCAAACCTGCCTACGCCGAGCAGAGCATGTCCAACAACTACCCGTCTTCAAAAAGCGTTGTCTACGCAACATCGCCCGCGTATGGTGGGATACTCTCGGATCAAGCAGAGCTGAATGCTACCAGGCGCGTCCCCGGGTTGTGGATAAGGGGATACCTTCACCGAAGAAGGTTAGTTACGAATAAGTTGTGGTAAACCGCAACAAATAAGCAGTCGCGAACAAACAACGGCAGCACTACCAGGGTGTGGTGGGTTTCAGGCTGGTTACCTGGTTCCTGTTTAAAAGCAGCATAAGCCCAATAACAGTGTCTTGACAAAGGTCGATCTGTCTGGCTTTTTGAAACTAAATTCATTGACCCCCTCACTTCCGAAGCGAGGAATTACTTCCTGCTGCCTTGCAGTTCGCATCTGGTTTGTTCAAACGCTAGCGGTGCACCCTCAAAATAAAACAGGCCGAGTGACGCTGCGGGACGTCTCTCGATCATGATCATGATCATGTCTGGAGCCAGCTTATCCTGTCCAAGGAACCAGCCACAGTAAAGTAAGTAACTATGGTGAGAGTGTCGCGTCAGTAACGACAAGGTCGGACGATGTGTGTTAGGATCAAATAATCTTCAACTGAGCAAAACATTTTACAGCATCGTCTTAGGCGGCTAGAGCACCTCCTACCAATGCCTGAACAACGACCACCATAAGGTGTGCTATTTGCAGACGTTGGTCCGGGTTGGAAGAAACAGCGAGGTGGGCAGGCTATGACATGGCATAGAGGTTTAAAGGGATTGTGCTCAGAGCTGGCTTCCGTCGGGGCTTCCTGCGACCCCGACTAGGACCTCAAAGATTCAGATTGTTTCTGGTTTGAGACACTGCGGGATATGACATTGAACCGAAGTCAGTAGCGTGAATGCATCCTTTTCTGTGTGCGATCCTAAAATACGATAAAACAAAGTCAATATGGCGTACAGTAAAACAAAATTATTCCTTAAAAGCTGACTGTGTTTTTCCCCTTTGTGTTTCTTTATTTAGCGTTGAACCCATTGATGTCGTTTTGGCTCCGTATTTGTAAAGATTGGTGTGAGAAATATATATAGTATGTAATATCAACAGTCAGAGCCAATCCGAATATTGCGATAGTTTTTTTGTCGAGTTTACAACCCTACCCTTTTGGGTTCAAGTCCTCGAAGGAAACGTTTTTCTCTATTTTGCAAGTCAGTATAAAAAAATCAGAACTGTGGACGAAATTACCGAATCAAAAACCCAATTAAATCAAACTAGAGAACCGAATCTGCCCCACGTTTGGTCCAGTGGACAAATCGGTAGGACTGAAATCGCGAGACGTTTAATAAGATACGGTTGCAACAGGGGGAACAGGTGTAACTAAAGCCACCAGGCAAACCCCATTATCAGCATATTTGCTAGAAATGGTAGTTGTTAGCACTGTCAGTTCTTCTCAGTTCGTTCGTTCATTTATTTTGCCTCCAAATCGTGGGTAAGGCCAAACTTTGGTCCGGACATCGATGACCTCAACCGCCAAAGTTGCTAGAGAAAAAAAACACCAGTAACACAACAAACAAACAGGTGCGTGTGGCTTTATTTATCTGTCTATCTGTTTGATTCTGTGTGCGTTATATGTGTTATAAACCGTGATCGATAAAATCATACCATGCCACGGGTTCTTTGAATTTGCCCTCCTTCTGTATCCGGTACATTAGGTCACCGCCACTGACAAATTCCATGACGAAGTACAGACGATCCTAGACACACACAGACACACGCAGAGAAGGTGGTTCGGGGTATTTGGGTACGCCGGTCACAGTCCAATTTGAAACGTGAAATGGATAATAGTGGGAAACGGGGAAAAAATGGTGAAAAGAAACATTACCACANAGTAAACAAATATTGTGAATAAATTGGGGATGAATGCATGCACAACTTCAAATTGTATACGCGAAAAACATACACTATAGTGTAGGCACCTTTCCTGACTACCGGGATATATATATATATATATTCATATATATTCCCCACGTGGTAAGAGTTACGGATTGAAAATGAAATTGGCCCTGTAGTTGCCCCCTTCCGAGAAACCGGTATCGGTTCGGATAGGTNGAATTCAGACGGATCAAGGATGAGGCAGATCAGGGCAGTTTTGTTTTTGTTGCGTTTTAAACCATCTACGCAATCACGCACACTCATAGACTCATAAGTTTAACAAAACCGAATTCTTTATAATTGATCAAGGATCCGGTGGTAGATTTCTGATCAGTACATTTCCGAATCTGTGTTCACACGATAAAATTGGATTCAGCTGCGTGCACCTCCAACGGCAGTGCGACAATCTAACTATACGGAATAAATAACCGTAAACTGGGGTTCCTCTTTCTGGTTTCGTTGATTTTGTTTTGTTTACCGTTTGAGGACAGAATCAGGGCACAGTTTAGGCACAAAATTCACACTTAAATTTCATCCAGGTACCGGTTGTACCTGAATTAAACCGAACTCCCTTTTTCGTTTCAGTTTCAGCCAAAGAAATTGTTTTGTTTCTTTATTTTCTCAACGAACAAATAAGGATGAATTGTGCATTGTGTATATTCAAAATGAGAAACCGTATGATAAGCTGTCAAGCGGTCGAATGGGTAGCATGCTTGCGTTATATCTGTCAGGTCCCGAGTTCGATCCCCAGCTAGGTCGATGGATTCACGGTGCTGATGAGATCCAACCAGATCGAAACAACTGTCCAGTGCTGCCCAAATTTCCTGAAGCAGATCGCCGGTTTCCCATTGATTGCCGCTCATCAGGCGTGCGTATTCGATAATTTTCCGTCTAGACATTCAAATACGTAAATTCCGGATACACGTTTTCATCACAAATCATTCAAGTTGTTGGGACTAGTGATACCGTCTAGGTTTCAGAATTCGTACGAATAAAAAACTTGCGACATACTGAAACCTGTTAATTGATCAGCGGGTGACACCCGAATCTTCGTCTATTCGTGTGTATGTATTTAGTTGTTCAAGTCCGTCTAGTAGTAGTTCGATGTAGTCCCCATTACTCTTTCTTTATCTATCCCTCGTTCGATTTCTAACTGAATTCGTTGACGCGTGAAACTATGGAATGTTAAATACTGAAATACTGACAATAAAGTAATTTTCATGAATCAGATAGCATTATTAGAAAAGGGAATGGTTTGATCAGAACACGATGCCATTATTTCTGTAGAATTCGACTGTTTAGATTTCATTTGTTTATCAGCGGCCTGTCAGCCGCGGTAGCATAGTTAGTTAAAGCACCGTATTTATGATTCCTAGGTCGAGAATTCGAGCCTCTTTCGGGGTATTAGATTTTAACAACAGAGGGTAGAGTATGTTTCAACGAAAAGCATGGTTTACTTTCAATGTTGCGCTATTCGTTGCGTGCCCAGTACGAATCCTCCTCAAATAATCTTGTGATTTAGTCATCACCAATCGTAAGAACACGATTTCGTTCCCGTCTGGTCTTGCCGTTGAATCTCTCAGAGAGTAAATGTCCTCTGTCAAAGTTCAAACTGTAGGAACAGATGTCAAGTGATACTTCTGAGTGGTAGATATGTTTTAACAATGTAGGCCATCCAGATCGCTTTGGAATCATCTCAAACATAATTTAATGAATATATGCAAGAACTCAGCGTCAATACTGATCATTGTGAAACATTTTAGCCCGCACGTTTCGTTTGCTTTGTTCTCGTCAGCCGCGATATGGTTGTAGGAGCCATGTGCCGGTAATCGGAGCTCAAGAAGAATCTTAAATCTCATTCTCCTGGAAGCAGAGAGCCGATTAAACTGCATGCTAATTGACTTAGACCACAACCAACATTCGGTGTACGATTGTTTTTGACTTATCCAACGAAACTCTATGTAGCACCGTTAATACAGGTTTCATTTCAACCAAGTCACCCGACTGAGGTTTGTTCATAGGGCTGAACAATTGCCTCGACGTTCGTGACACCGCAACCGTAATGAAACTGAAAGACGATCAGCACATTGAATGGGGACCGAGTAGTTTTAGATCGCGGCTTGGCTTCATCAAAACCCTTGGAAGTGAGAAGGAACACTGCAACGAGCGTTTATACTGAACCAAGACTCCAGCTCGCAGAATACTTTTAGCGCATCCCTGTTTGTATTTTACGGTCCATTATGAACGCTTGTGTGTCAAATCATGAAATGTGATGTGCTCATGTCTTGTCATCACTGTATATGTGAAAAGGGTTTGTGGAGCACGCCTCAATCGAATCATTCAAACAAGCACCCGGGGCTCAAGTGCAACCAATTTCATGTTTCAGAAGGAAAAAATCGTTTTGGTATACATCCTACACAAGTTTTCATGATAACATATTCCAATTTGTGCTATGCAACTGGGATGTTAACCGTCTATTTGCGTAGGATAGTATCATATCGTCAAATCCATTTTAATCGTATGCGAATCAAAGCAAAATCAAAAACCTATGAGTGATCGAAAGGTTTTTGAGCTTTGGAGAGCCGCCCCGTCCAGTTTGAGACTCATCAGCAGCGCGTAATTTCTGTGTCCCTGCCAGGACTCGAACCATGAACCTTCGGAGGGGACTTCAAGCCCTTCACGCAACGTGATGATAGTCGACCGCGTAGCTCATGGGTAAAGGTTTTAAGTCCCGATCCGAATGTTTGAGGGTTCGAATCCTGGCAGGTAGTTCACCAAAAGTATTCACAGATAACCAGTCCCGAACACGACGAAACAGCTGTCCAGTGCTCTTTGTCAGTTATCATA